GTATTTCAACACCACGGTAGTTTCCCCTTGATTCATACTTCTTCAATATTGTCCCAATTTTTGTATTACGCTTTCTTAACTTTTGTTACTGGAGTGTAAGTACAAGTTACATTACGCTAGAGAACTGAGGTGTGCAACATTTTAGTGAGGAGTTTATACAAATCAGACTCTGAGTGATACCAGTAAATATTTTCTGAGTTGATTATATGTTATCTCTTCTTACTCTTTAACTGAAAATTCAGTTGTTATTTTTTCTTTTTGATCTTGCATATAATTCAAAATATATTTTATACCTTATGTTAAAGCTCCAATTATAAATCTCTGTAAAATCACTTTAATGTGGTCTTGCTTGAGTAGTGTTATTCACATGCCCATCCTTTTTATGGCTGAAAAGTTAAGTCACATACTAATTGGTTGTAATGATTTATTTTGGGAGAAACCTCGCTTGCGTCAGTCAGGTTTACCCGTTTTATACAAAAGAAGAGAAACATTTGCTATTTTTTAAATAATTAAATAGAACTTTCAAGAGATGATCTGGGATAAGAGTATACTAAATAATTAGAATTAACCTCTGTTGTTATTTTCTGTCCACCAGGCCGAGCGTCACTCACCAAATGGACGATGATTTTGCATGGTACAACTGAGGATCCCCAACCTTTGCAGAAGAATAGTTTCACACCTGCTTACAGAAAGTCTACCTCAATGGTCACAGCTACTGGGACGAGAACACTACTTCCTTCTACTATAAGTACTGTGGTTCGGGATCAAGATTTTACAAGTGGAATCAGCCACAGTATTAATAGTTTAAGCTCTAATTCTTCAGCATTTCCTGGTATAAGTCAGCTGATCTATAAGCATACAGATAGCAATTCTGTAGCTACAAAACAGGAGACTGAATTGGTTGAAATACACAAAGGTGGACCTGTTTCAAGTACGTTTTTGTTTCAGGCATTAACAAATTTAGAGTATTCCGACTATTAATTTATAAAAAAATATGTTTGTAATCCTGCTTTCGTCAGCAGCTGTTATATTGGAAGGACTTCACTTACAGACTATTACTGGCTGGTAAATAAATGTATGAAGATCTATCTTCTGACATTTGCTATGTTTAAAAATCATTTGTAATTTGTCTTGACAGTGTGCACATTAGGATGACTTAGATATCTTTCTTCTAAATCTTTCAAAAAAAAACCAAGTTAGTCATTAGTTTGTCCCAGGTTGTAACCAAGTTAGTCATTAGTTTGTCCCAGGTTGTAACCAAGTTAGTCATTAGTTTGGTCCCAGGTTGTAACAAAGTTAGTCATTAGTTTGTCCCAGGTTGTAACCAAGTTAGTCATTAGTTTGTCCCAGGTTGTAACCAAGTTAGTCATTAGTTTGTCCCAGGTTGTAACCAAGTTATCATTAGTTTGTTAATTTTTGTTTTACGTGCTTCCCTATATTCAGTATTTTGGACATATTTATATGACCTGCTGCCTACTTAATTTCACAATAACCATTATTGTTTTTAGTAGAATTAAATTAATAGTTCTGTTTTATTTATTTTTCATTAGATTGTCCTCAAACATATTATCGTCTGAACGGAGCATGCGTTAATGAATGTCCTGATGGGTACTACCCAGAGCAACAAGACCCTCTAGTAGTGAATCGTGGTGAAACAGAACAACTTTGTGTTCTCTGTCATTACACGTGTAAAGCGTGTGATGGTCCAAACGATTACCAGTGTACCCGCTGTCATGAAGACGCAGAGTTAAATGAGAATTATTGCAGTCAGCGGTTGCAACTATTACAGCTTAAAGAATCGGCACGTTGGTATACTACCCTAACGGTGGCATTCGTTATCTTGTGCTGTATAACGTTAATATTAGCTGTTGTTTTGATAGCAGAGAGAGTGCCTTCTCTATGCAGCTGTTTAACGAAAGAAACTAAGTATAGCGAGCTTCCTGTTGAAACTTCCAACCACCTGGACATCAAAACCAGCATCCCAGCAGTGCCTTACTATGATGAAGATAAGAATGGTGGATCTTCCATCAAACCGTACTACGACAGTGAAGAAGGATCTCCCTAGTTTTGGTAACAGGTTCTAATGAACTGATAAAATGGCCAATGTATTCAGTGTAGGTGAATTAGGTGTGGTCAGGTTATTTATGTTACTGGATATTCACAGATAAAGAAATGTGTAAAAAGATTGCTTCAAGTACAAAATCCTCACTTAGAAGAAGTACAGTCCTAGTAAGGAACATCAATAATTCCACAAGTATAGCATATCTTTGGGTTGTCAGTTATTATATTTAGGCTTTTGGCACTAATGTTATCCATATAAGTCTTTGCATTGAATTTCAATATATTTTGAGCCGTACAAACATCTACTTCATATATATATAGACACACATATACATACACTAAAACAGGAGCAGTATTTATAAAGCACAACTTCCTCAGTTCTTTCAGTGGGGTGGAAACGATAGATTGGTCTGGAAGTATACAACATGAGTTGGGTAACTGTGATGCTCTCTGAATGAAGGGTCCTGTAGCTTTTCTAAATATAGAGTCCTGTATGTTGCAAGTTGTCTGAATCAAGGATCCCATAGTTTTGAAATTCTCTTAATGAAGGACCTATAGTTTTGAACTTCTCTCACTATAAGATCTTGTAGTTCTGAACTTCTCTCGACTATAGGGTCCTTTAGTTTTGGAGTTATTTGAAGGAAAGGTTCTGTAGTTCTAAAGCTGTCTTTATAAGGGCCCTTGAAACAAGAAAACAGTGCTAAGAAACTCATCCTCATAAGAATGAAAGTTTTACAAACATTTAATACAACCTTAGCCTTCCTGGACATGTGTAACTTACCATGTGAATGAATAAATCTGGACATGTGTAACTTACCATGTGAATGAATAAATCTGGACGTGTGTAACTTACCATGTGAATAAATGAATCTGGACATGTGTAACTTACCAATGTGAATGGATAAATCTGGACATGTGTAACTTACCATGGGAATAAATGAATCTGGACATGTGTAACTTACCATGGGAATAAATGAATCTGGACATGTGTAACTTACCATGGGAATAAATGAATCTGGATATGTGTAACTTACCATGTGAATAAATGAATCTGGACGTGTGTAACTTACCATGTGAATAAACACGTCTACAAGTATATAACATCATACTTTTTAAATAACTACTGTAAAGTTAATATTTATTCCCGTCTCTGTATTAAGCCTTGTATTTTTGAATATATTACATGTAAGGTGATTGATGGTATTCACACCCAACCACAATACAAATATATTCAGAATGATATTTTTTTTGTATATATTTCATGAATTACAGCTGGAGTTTGTGTGATATATTGGAATGACTGTCTTTGAGAAAGGTATACTTTTAATACAAAAATATTTAGATATAAAATGATAAAAGTCATATAACCCGAGTGCTTTCGAAAGGTGGACCTTTCTTCCTCGGTTTGCCCCTGAATAAGAAAGGTCCACTTTTCAAAAGTGCTCAGGTTGTAGGGTTTTTATCATTTTGTATCAACACTTACTGAACCTATGTATTTTTCTGGTATCATGATAACATTTAGATAATTGTGATTTTCACACACATATTGCCCCTTGATAGAACTTGTGATTTTCACACACATATTGCCCCTTGATAGAACTTGTGATTTTCACCACATATTGCCCCTTGATAGAACTTGTGATTTTCACACATATTGCCCCTTGATAGAACTTGTATTTTCACACACATATTGCCCCTTGATAGAACTTGTGATTTTCACACACATATTGCCCCTTGATAGAACTTGTGATTTTCACCACATATTGCCCCTTGATAGAACTTGTGATTAGAGTTTACTTTTTTGATATTTGTGTGGATGAATTGCGGTTTTGAAAAGAAACCTAAAAAAAAAATCAAAAAAGTTAGGATCAAATGCAAATAGGTTTGTAGACATATTCAAAATAGCAGTAGTGAAGGTTTAAATGAAAACTGTGTTCATTTAATTGTAATATACAGAAATAATGAGCAGGGAACATGAACATTGCTGGTAACAAAGCAGGAAATTAGTAACAATATTCTTTTGTGTATTACTCTTTTAAACTTTAATTGAAGTGCTTTATTTTTTTTATAAAATCATCAATCCAGTAGGTGAATTGAACAATCTGGTTTCTAAAGGAAAAGATTTTAATTTGAATGTTGTGTTACATGAGAACCATGTAGCAAATTTGGCTTTGTTGTTCAAAATATTGTTCTGTACATTTAGGTTTTTTCTTCTCCATTCAAAGCTATAAATAAGACTTAAGATTGGCTTACAATGAAATAAATTAATAGTTTAAATATGGCTAGAAACTTGTTTCCAGAGGACGGCGTTTCAAACTAGTGCTCCGAGTCAGATCACAGAGCTTACGATAGCCCTCAGTCAGATTGTAGAGCTTATGATGACAGCGCTAAGTGTCAGATCGTAGAATCTACAATCAGACAAAAGTCCATTCCGTTGGAAGTTGCATTTTTACTCAAAACAAGTTTTATTTTAATTTATATAAAAAAAATATCTGTGGGTTTGTTGTATCATTTTATTGTGTAGTTATTTTATAAGTTTTGGTCAACAGTGTTGAATAGAAATATTAAGATACATTGGACTGTCCTGCCTTTCCCTCCAACACACAGGATGGATAAGTTGGCTCTGTTGTTATAATCAGTATTGTCAAAGAAATTACCTCACTGTAACAACCTGTTTGGTAGCACTCCAAGAACACGAAGTAAGATGTTTATCAAGGAGTAATAGATTTGAAGAACGTATTACACTTTGCCCGAGAATGTTGATGTAACTTTATCAAGTTAGGAACATGCAAGAATTTCCGTCAGCAATAATTTTAATATATATTTTTTATTTATGTCACTTCTATACATTAAACGTGACCTTGTGATAACCTAAATATTTCCACAATTAGTGATAGCCCTCTTTGGAGTTAATTATGAAGTAATTATTTTTATAAATTATTCTTTTTTAGCATTTCTTTAAAAGTTTTACTTGTGTGAATAAAATGTTTTTACTACCGATACTTTTTTGTACAGTTTTGTACTTTGAGACAGGCTTTAATGACTAGAAATAATAGACTGGTTATACAGTCCTCAAGAATCCAAAAATAAAAACAAAATGTTTCTTTTTCCAAGTTCAATTAGCGTTATTTGAATCCTTTGGTGCCCGTTATCCGTGCATTTCGTATTTATGTGCAATTACTTGATTATTTTACTTTACCAAAATGTTCTGGTCCCATAGTATCGAGAACGTGGTGTGTCGTCTATATCAAATTCTTCGTTTATCAAATCAGGAAGACTGTATAGAGGTTGTAGGCTTCTGTAAAGAGATGCCTGTTTAGGAACGTCCCGAAGTGTCTTTCGTAACTGGTAGCCAATCAAGTCTTTCCAATCTATTGTTCCACCATGGGCACTTTTCAGTTCCTCTAAAACGTTGTCTCTCTCCTTTTTTTCGGTGATGAATTTCTCATCCTCTTCTTCGTACTCCTAAACAAAACGTTTTTATTAAAGTTTACTAACTTCTATCATAGCCAGAATACCATAAATTATGCTAATAATGCAGAGCAGGTAATTTTTATCGTGATTATTTTTCATAAGACATTAGGATTAGGCCTATTATATTTTTAAACACTATATTCGTCATATTTATTGCCGACGGCTCGCTTCGTCCAATCCAGAGCTCATCAGGCCAGCTGGGATATAACAAACAGAACAGTTGATACTAAAAATAAACGACCTTATAACACCATAATGTAGTTTTTTTTATTTAATTAGATACTCAACGTTTTGCTTTACAGCTTCTTCACTAAAATACAAACCGAAACTGACAGTACGAAGCTTCAAATGGTTTAAATAATTTATTCTAGTATTAATATGTCTATTATACACTACAGAAATTGAAAACAGTAGTTGTCGGAACACTGTTTGTATAAGCTATTTGTTATGACAACAATTGTTGTGGTGTAAACGTTTTTTTTTTTGCAAGCTGGCGAAGCATGATAATTAATTATATTTGTCATAAGACATTAGTAATAGGCACACTATATTTTTACCGTAGTAACATTTGTTGTAATATAGTGGCGGTATTGTGTGGCATTATTAGCAAGCTCCAGTATAATACAGTACAGTGTGGCATTGTTAGCAAGCTCTAGTATAATACAGTACAGTGTGGTATTGTGTGGCACTGTTAGCAAGCTCTAGTATAATACAGTAGAGTGTGGTATTGTTAGCAAGCTCCAGTATAATACAGTACAGTCTCTTGTATAATACAGTAGAGTGTGGTATTGTTAGCAAGCTCTTGTATAATACAGTAGAGTGTGGTATTGTTAGCAAGCTCTTGTATAATACAGTATTGTGTGGTATTGTTAGCAAGCTCTTGTATAATACAGTAGAGTGTGGTATTGTTAGCAAGCTCTTGTATAATACAGTAGACCACACTGTACTGTATTATACTAGTGGCATTGTTAGCAAGCTCACAATACCACACTTACTGTATTATACTAGAGCTTGCTAACAATGCCACACAATACCACACTCTACTGTATTATACTAGAGCTTGCTAACAATGCCACACAATACTGTATTATACTAGAGCTTGCTAACAATGCCACACTGTACTGTATTATACTAGAGCTTGCTAACAATACCACACTCTACTGTATTATACTAGAGCTTGCTAACAATGCCACACAATACTGTATTATACTAGAGCTTGCTAACAATGCCACACAATACTGTATTATAC